CTGCTAATTCCCAACTCCAACCCGCCCACCCTCGCCGACCGCAACGGCGAGCACTTCTCCCTCTATCCCGACGCGCCGCACATCCTGCGTCTGGTCGCGGCGCTGCCCCACACGCGCCTTGCGGTGGCCAGCAAGTCGCCCGTGGGCGACCTCTGCCGCGAGGTGCTCAAGCTGCTGCGGCTGCCGCCGCCGCTGGTGCTGGGGGACGGGGTGTCGGTGCCGGGGGGCGGGGGCAGCGAGAAAGGCGGACCGAAGAGGGCGGGGGATGCGTTTAATGCGGGGATGGAGATTTATGAGGGGACGAAGTTGAGGCATTTTGAGGTGTTGGCGAAGAGGACGGGGATCCCGTTTGGGGAGATGCTGTTTTTTGATGATGAAAGGCCGAATTTGGAGGTGGAGAGTTTGGGGGTCACGATGAGGTTGGTGAGGGATGGGTTGACGTGGGAGGAGTTGGAGAAGGGGATCCTGCAGTGGCGGGGGAATCAGGGGGCTGCGTGAGGGGGGAGAGAGGCAGGTGATATAGAGGAATGGGTTGACAGTTGGAACGCACGGGCTCTAACAGAGCGTAGATGTTTGTTTTAGAGATAGACACGGACGCCGTGGACATATCCGGGACTGGAGAGCTGCATTAGACAGTTTCGGTAAAACACGATCCTGGCAAGAGGCTACAGTGGGCGGCGAGAAAGCCCGCCGTTGCTAGTGGTGCCGGGGACGAAACTCGTGGTCGCGAAAGACTGGGCGGAACGTCACGGCGGCCACGGTGGTTTGGGATGGAGAAGTGTTGCAAAGCCATCCTGAAACTCGGATGGGGCATTGCAATGTCAACCGGATGGTCATCTATATGGAGGTAATATTCTATGTGAACACAAATCCGCGGTCATAACCAAGCCTTAGCCCCTAAATAAAACCCACGAAGGTCGAACAAGAAAGGTATCTGAGCTGTGCCAAATACAACACCCCAACTATGCAAAACGTTCTCCAACTCTTGTTATATGTACCCGCACATGCCGTGCTCAGCTAGAGACAGCCGTAGTCTTCTGCTCCGGTTGCTGCCCCCCGGCGCTAGTGGCCACCTTCTCCTCGATCTCGCCCGCCACGCTGTTCTCGGTAATCGACAACTTTTGGATTCTATCAACGATAGCCTCCGCCGGCGGAGCAGCAGCCGCAACAGTCTCAGCCGCGGGCTGCGCCGCTATCTCCCCCTTGGGAAACGTCACGGCGATAGTGCCGACCCTCTCGCGCCTCTCCTTGCCATCCTTACTCCCCACCGCCATGCAGGCCAACCTCGCGCCATCATCCACAGGCACCCAATAGACCGGCCCCTCGGGGAAATCAGTATAGCCAGCCTCCCAGCGAATCGCCTCCTTGATGGCGGGGTCGACATTGGGGCGGTCAAAGAACTCAAACTCGAGCTCGCCGCCGTACTGCTTGGGGATGTTGCGGGGCTCGATGAAGGACTCGAGGGTGGGGCGCACCTCGGCGGCGCTGAGGATGAAGATCTTGGAGACGGTGATGGGGTCGAACCAGCGCTTGATCCAGCCCCAGACGGTGCTGAAGAAGTAGGGGGCGCCGATGATGAAGATGCGGTCCAGCGTCTCCGGGTAGTGGGCGGTGGCCAGCGTCGACGCCGCCTGCATGTGCGCCTTGAGGTTCCAGAACATGCGCAGCGACACCTGCGACACGTCGACGATGTTGGTGCTGAGCGTGATGGGTGTGCCCGAGTGCTCACGGTCCTTCAGCTCTGTGCACAGCGGCTGCGCAAATCGTGTCAGGTTCTCGTACAAGGCGAATAGTCGGAGAAGTCGTTGCGGCGTGGAGCCGTCGGTCTCGGCTTTGCTGACGTTGGTTGATTCCGAGGCCTTTTCGTAGGCGGAGACCGTCTTGGAGTCGAGGTGGCGGATTTGGTAGAGGTAAAGGGGGATGCCTCTGTGTGGAAGGCAGGGTGGTTAGAAAGTGAGCGCTTCGGCAAGGATAAGTCTCACGGGTAGAACAAACCTCCTGTCTCTCCTCCCTGTCCATTGAGGATACTACGTTTGTCCAAGTCAGCCCAAACTTCTTGCGCACCCAAACCCCAGAGCCTCCTGTCATACCAAACGCCGCGTCTGTTCATATGCGTCCACGTCGATCGTGTCGTACAGAACGTCCAGGTGGTTTGCCTGCCGCCATTCCTCGGTGTCCTTGAACTGCTGGTAGGCATCGTTGACGACCCATTTTCGAGCGCGTAAAAAACGTCTATGTGGAGGGCGCACGAGCAAGATTAGCGCACCGTACTACCAACCAGACACACGCCGGGGCTTTTGCGATACTTACAGGAGGGTTTGGTCGTCGTGCGACGGAGGGGGACCGCTCTTATAAAGGCCCTTGTCCTCGAGGAAGATCTTGAATGCCTTCAGTTGGTTCTCTTCCCCCTCCGTCAAATGCCCCAAATGTCCATTGGGGTAGCCGACATCAGCGACCCCGCCGCTTGTTGTCTTGTCCGCTGGCGCGTCGGCCATTGTCCCGTTCGCGCGGTGCGAGGGTGATGACTAACGTGGGGTAGAGAGTAACGCTATTCGCGGGACGGGAAGGCGGGGGACGGATTTGGTCGGAGGGGATTGAGTTGTCGTCGGAACCTGCAGTTCAACCGCAAGCAAGAAAGGGGGCAGGCAAAGGACAAAAGACAGTTTGTTGTTTTGATTTGGGGGCAGTTGCCGCAAACATCAAAGTGCGAGCCGTCGGTTCGCGGGAGTCCCCTCCCTCCGGCCCCGGTCTCCGAAGCTGCCGAAATCGCGAATGCCCCACATTCAATGGGACCCCCAGCACTCAGCTGAAGACCCCTTGCTCTGACGCCGCTCGGCGCTTGGATCGGCAAGTCCGGGCTATTATTGGCCGTCCGAGCGCAGAAGCAACAACGTCGATGCAAGCGAGAAACACGAGCACACCACCCATGGCCATGTCACCATAGTGGCTTAAGACCCTGGCCAGGCAGTTGGGCTCTAGTATCATACTCAACATAATCATCATTTCTGCTAAACAGAACAGAGCTTTTCGTGGCTGCTCTCTCCCAAACATAACAACCTCCATAGACGCCAGTGACTACCACCCGCCTGTGCCTTGTATTCTGCAGGTTGTGCGGAAACAGACAGGAAACTAAGCACTACTCGACCTCCTCCTCGCTGCTCTCCTCCTCATCATCGTCCTCGTCCTCTTCCGACTCTTCTTCCTCCTCCTCATCCTCAGCTTCCTCACCAGCAGCCGCCTTAGCAACAGCAGGAGCAGCCGTGGAACCCCCTTTCTCAAGCTTGAGCCACTCATCCCACTCCGGGAACAGCTCATCATCCTCGCCAGGCATACCAAGCGCCTTGGCCACACGGCCCTTCTTGTTCTTCTCCAGGCTTTCCTTCCACTGCGCGACCAGCCCAGCCGTCAAGCTCGGCTGGTACGTCTGGGAGAACAGGACGGCCTCGGCCAGGCGGCCGGTGGCGACGAGCACGTCGATGCAGCCCTGGACGTCGCCCAGGGACCACTTGCAGCTGAAGGCGACGTTGTGCGCGCCCGCCAGCGAGGCCTGCTCGGCGAGCTTGGCGAGCCCGGCGCGGTCGTTGGTCGACGTGTAGACGAGCAGCAGCGAGCCGAGGTCCTTGGATTTGACGAAGCACTCGGTCGCGAGCGGCACGTCCCAGGCAGCGAGGCCTGCGTCGCCCAATGTCTTCCACTTGTGGTCCGCGTCGGCCTGGCGTGCCAGTTCTAGGGCAACGTCCAGCTGGTTTAGCGATAGGGCGAGGTCAAATTTGTGCTCTGTGTCGGTGGCGACTTCGAGCGCGAGTTCCTTGTGGCCCTGGCCCTCGAGGAACCGGGCGATTTTGTTGAGCTGGTCCTGGGGGATGCTGGGAAGCAGCTCTGCGGCCGTGTCCATATCCTCGCGGAGGACCAACGTCTGGTACTCGAGGACCGGGAGGGAGAGCGCAAACGACGTGACGGATAGGTCCTTGTCGGTGAGATACACCCGGCTGTCGCGCTGCAAGTAGCCGAGGATGTACATGGGCTTGTCGAAGTGCGCCACGGTGTATGTCTGGTCGCCCACCAAGTAGTTCAGCCGGTTCGTCCCGTTGGTGTAAATCAACACGTCTCCAAGCCATTCCGCGGACCGGATGCTGGTTTCGGGTTAGCAACTATGTCAATCAGACCACGGATCAAAAACATTTACCTCTCGCTGATGTCGGTGACCACATCGAAGGCGGCCTCGACACCGTCGTCCTCGATTTGGTCGGCCTGAAGCGCCTCGTTGTAGTTATCCCTCGAGAACCTCAAGACGTAGGTGGTGTCCTCGCAGGCGAGAGCCACTAGCTCGCCGCTCTCGCTCCAGTAGACCTGCTTGGGCTCCACCTCGATGCGTCGCACAAGACCCCCCGTGGCCCAGTCGTAGAAGGAGATGCCGCCTTGACCTTTGATACCAAGCAGTACACCGCCCGTGAGCCCGTCGGCCGCAAAGGGAACGTCGAGCCCGCCCTTCTTCTCCTGGAAGTTCTTGAACACCTTGATGCTAGTCGCCGACTCGCGGATGGCAAAGTCGTTCGAGTTGTCCTTCGATGCCCATACGAAATCGAGAGCCTGGCCGAAAGCCTTGTTGCGCCAGGCCAGGGCTGTGTAGATGATGTATTCCCCATCGCCACAAATGGCCGCAAACCGCCCGTTCGGAGAGTGAATGAGGCCCTGGGGGTAAACCTCGGCGGTGCCCAGCTCTTTGGTGCTGAGGTTGATCGGCTCGTTGTCCTTGGTCGACTCGCCGCCCTTGATCACAGCTGAGACAACCTCGTTATGACGGGCCCAGATGATCTTTCCGGAGCCGTCCATCGACACTGCAGGTTCCTCCCGGCCCAGCTTGATGACTACGGACCCATCGTCAAAGCCCACTGCAACCCCCTGCTTGCCCTTCTGGTACGCCACGCACCATGCCCGCTCCAAGCCATAGTTCAAGGACTGCTCGAAGCGGTACGTGTTGGCGTTCCATATCCTCACGGTGCCCTGTCTATTGTTAGCATAGACTCCAATGATGAGTTGGAGATGGGCGTACATCTTCCGAGCCAGAAATGATGATCGGCAATTCGGGGTGGTAGCACGCGAAGGAGACGTTGTTGGTGTGGCCTTCTAGTGTGGCGATTAGGCTTTTAGTTGTGTAGTCCCACACCTTTACTGTGCGCTATCGACGATGTTAGCTCTTACTACTGTCACGCCGTCACACAGAACGTGATGTGCTTACGTCGTCTGAGGTCGTAAGCAAATAAGGCTTATCGCTGTGAGGGTAGTAATCCACATGGTTGACACCCTTAGTCTCATGCGCTTCCAACTGAAAGTTGGGTGTGGAAGACCCTAAGCTCCAAATTTTTACTAGCGGTGTGTTAGAGGAAAGCCGATCAGAGCGTGGCAAGCGACATACCGGTCCTGTCCAAACAGGCCGAGGCAAATGTGTTGGTGTCCTTGGGGTTGATAGCGAGCGACATGACGTAGTCTAGCCCGTAAAGTTAGTACGGATCGATATTCACCTCGCCACGTCCAGCATCGACATACGCGAGTTGCCCTCAAACACCCGAACATTCTTCCACCCCTTCTCCCAATCCCAGAGCTTAATGGTCATGTCATCACTAGCGGTAAGGACGAAAGGTTGTGTCGGGTGGACCACGATCGCGCGGATGTAATCGGGATGGGCCTCAAACGAAGCGATCTTCTCGCTCGTGTTGTAATTGTATACCCGAATTTGGCTGTCGCAAGGGGGTCAGTCGGTCCATCGTAAGCAAGTGGCAGATCGAAGGGACCATACAAATCATCCGACCCGCAGACAATCCAGTTCTTGCGCGCGATAAAGCGACCGGCACGGACAGGGACATCGGTGAGCTCGAATGTCTTGACGACTTGCTGGGTTTCGTAGGACCAGATGTAGACGTGGCCGCTGTAGAGGGTCGCTATCCCATGGATGTCAGAACTCGATCGCAGGTCGTAAACGGATAAGCAAACGCACTCAAGATCCATGGCTCTGTCGGGTGAAAGTCGATGCCCTTGACTCGCTATTGGGAAGCTGGTTAGTGATGTCGACGTCGGGGGTTATCAGGGAGGACCGCGACATACCTCAGAGCGAGCAAAGAGCTGACGCTGTGCGTGGAAGGCCATGTTAGCAAGCGATCCGGCGGGGGGTTGATCCTCAATGGGCGCATGGTAGGGCAGCACATGAAACGAGCAAGAAGGACCCAAAGACCCAGCGCCGCCCCATAGCGTAGGCTTATTGAGGACACTGGGAGCATCGAGCTTGGGGCCAGATGTCCGTAACACGCGCTGGTATTAAATGGGAAGGTGTGCAACCTGCCTTCACATCTAACCTCATCTTGGGCGACACCAAACGAGGATTCGGAAATAGGGTTGTCGAGCTCGGGTAGCTTTGGCGGGGTGGTTCACGAGAACCACGGAGTCGGCTTCGAGAAAGGGGCGGCGTTCGGGAACGGGTCGTGGAGGGATCAGGTCACCTGGCGCGGGGATGGTCGATGAAGTGCCCCGGGAGAAGCCGTAGAAATGCTACGACTCAATAATCCCAGTGGGCAAGGCAGTCGGAAAACGTCAAGTGCCAGCCACGTATCGTAGCGTTGAGGTCTGGACGCTTTCTCAATTTCGCCAATGTGGTCAATCCAGCCGCTGCAGGTGGGAGGAAGATTAGGTAATACAGCTACGCACATGATGCCTCGGATCTCAGGTCACAACTATAAAGCACGCACGCACGAGCCACTTCTTCCGCCAAGCTGAGTGCCAAGGGCGTCGTCCCGCTCACGATGGCTTCAATTCTCATCCCAACTTTCTTTCGCCCCGGGAAACCATCCCTCTGCCTCACTAGATCATTCATTTTCGTAGTCCTCACGAGCATTAGAAGATAAGATATCAAATTTCGAGCTTGATCACCACTTCGCAATGTTTCAGTTCTGTAATGTCACAACCAACAAACAAGTCACACAGGTTGGTTGCATGAAGTTGTGGAAAAGACGTTTGAGAATATTCCTTGTTCTGTCTAGGATGTGCAAATACCACAAACTCCTCTAGGGGCCCATGCTCCTCTGCGTTGCGTCGTAGTTAATCCCCACTGATGATGCTAAAGACAGAAAAAAAGAAAAAAAACAGAAGCACAGCCAATCTAAACGCCGAGACCATGCGTTGCCCAGTGATATCCCAATCGCTACCCAATCCGCGCCCATGGCCTTTCCAAGGCGGGAACAAACCCTAAAATGCGCCGCAAATCATCAAGACAGGAAGACATGAAAATGATGAAACCGCGGGACGCTGCGCAGCCGCTGTCTTTTAGTCGGACTGGGTGTCGGCCTGGACGCGCTTGACGACGTCGACGACGGCCGGGAAGAGCTTCTCCTTGGGCTCGAGGCCACAGACCTGCTTGACAACGTCCTCGGGGCCGTTTTGCTCCATGATCTCGGCGAGCTTGAACGACTCGTCGTCGCCCTCGACGTTCTGGAAGCGGAAGGCCATCTCGGCGGCGTCCAGGAGCGCGCCGCAGTCCTTGCCGTGCTCGGCCAGCTCGGCCGCGGGGCCGATAAAGCGCTCCTTACGGCTGAGCTTGCGCAGCGGGGCGCGCCCCACGCGCTCGACGGCGTCTTCGAGGTGGGGGTTGCTGATACGCCGCACGATCTTGTCGACGTACGCCTGCTGCTCGTCCTGCGGGATGCCGTGCTTCTGGGTGATGAGGCTGGCTGTGTTGGCGAGCGCCTTCTTGACCTCCTCCTGGATCTCACGGTCCTGCAGGGCGTCGTACACGGTGCTCTTCCGGCGGATGTACCCGTGATACGCCGCCGTCGCGTGGCCAGTGTTGACGGTGTACAGCTTGCGCTCGATGAATGGTTGCAGGTTGTCAACCCAGTGGATGCCCTCAACGGCAGGAGGTTCGTGATCAGCGAACGGTGTGCGCTCAACCACCCACTCGTAAAACTTCTCGAGCCTCACGTCGAGACCGGCATCGGGATCTTGGGCGGGGACGATGCGGTCGATGGCCGAGTTGGCAAACCGGGCGCGCTTGTCGTAGTCGGCAAGACGATCGGGGTTGGTGTTCTCGGGAGCCTTGATGAACTCGGCAAGGGTATCGGTGGCGCCGATGGCATTCTCGCAGGCAATGACAGCAACGGGTGTGAGGTCTGTTGACCGGGCATCGATGCCCTTGGCGATGACGGGGGCGAGGAACTTGAGGATGTGGGGGCCGACGGAGCAGGTGACCAAGTCGGCAGTCGCGATTTCCTGGACGAGCTCGGCCTCATTTAACCTCGAGTTGATGGCGCGGTAGTTGGTGATGGTGGACTCTGATGTCCCGTCGGCGCCGACCTCGATCACCTTGTAGCTCTTCTGGGAGTTGAGCTTTTGTACCGTAGTGTCGTTAACCTCGGCAAAGATGACTTCGTAGCCTGAGTTGTGCAAGAAGCAAGCGACAAAACCACGACCTACATGCCATCAAGGGTTAGCGTCATCGCACATGTCATCCAAGATTCGCGATCTCATACCAATGTTACCAGCACCGAAGTGCACGGCCTTCTTGGGGGCATTTCTTTGTACCATGTTGGCGGTGATGTGGATTTTGTTTGAAGGTGACAGTGAAGATGATAAAATGTGTGGAATCGACAAGCCGATTTAAGGTGGCGAGAAGATCTGTAGGTGGCGTTTGTTGTTGAAAGATGCAACAAAGGGTTAGGTGTATGGGAGATGATACGGATGCGTGTTAGCGGAATGGCAAATTGCTGCTGGTGATCAAGTCACTTTCTGATGTCTGTGGACGAGAGAAGGAACTGTCAAGAAACGGGGGGCAGCCATTTCTCTTTATAGAGCAGGAAGCCATTGTCCTCTGACGATGACAGTGGACACTCCGTCCAAAACTTGTCTTTCCCCTTGGGCCACGGACCTGGATCCCGGCCTGTTGAGATCATCGGTGGGTCTTGGGTGACGGCGTGTGGCTTGTCCGGTTGTGAGATGGAACGGAAAGCGGCGACGGGCCACCCCACCATGGGGCGCCCCTCTGCAGGCCCGCCGACCCACCCTCCGTTTTTGCGCTTGAGATGAACGTCTCTGCAGCAATAATCTTCCTGGGGTGGCGAGCTCGTTCGGAACGAACAAAATGGAAGATTGAAGCCGAACGATTGAGGATTTCCATGGCCCTACGGACAGGGCCGATTGATCCATCGCCTTCTGGCTTGGTTGCTTTTACTTTCTTCGCCAGGCCATAGATAAGACATGCTTGGCTCTGGGCCCAGCGACCTCGGCGACGGTGAAACGGGCCCGGGCGGCCGAAACTGCAAGTAGACAACATTGTTGACCTGCTGCTTTGAATTGGAGCAAATCACCCCACGACACGCCCACCGTGGAAGAAACTCGAGAGCACAGATGAGACACCCGGCACATGCCAGGGTCGCTTCGTCAACGAGGGGTAGCATCAAGGGTCCAACAAGCCACAACACCAGAGCGATGCAAAAATGGCCTGGTAGCCGCAAGCCACCCGATGTCTCGGGGACATCCGTAAACCTTCCCACACCGGTGTTGTCCCCAACAAAGATTTGAGTGCATATTCACGTCCAGGCTCTATCACGTCTATCCAATCTCCGAACGTTTCCAAAGATAACAAATACATACCACAACACAGTGACGAAGCGGAGCCCCTTTCCGGAGCCGGGAACATTTCGTTCAAGCACAGTGTGATGCTGGCCTGCCCTGCGAGAATTGACGGATCAGCACCAAAACGGACTCTGTGACGTCATGCCGCAGCCGCAATCGATCATCCTAGCGGCGTCATGCTTCACAGTGCGCAGAAAATAATGGGACTTCATTGCTCCGTCTTGGTTATCTGGACGGAGATGTGGCTCGTGTGGCTTTGAGAGGGAACTCGGCAGCCGAAACTGGCCCAACATGACAAAGACCGGCCGAGTCTGGGCTGAAACGGACCTCTGGCAGCACCGGACCTGGCCCACCCGGGTCAAGAGGGATTCGCTTGGCTTTCGAACACACCAATTGACCATTTCTGCGGCGGGCTTTCGAACAATTATTGATTCACCATGTCCATTTTCCCAGACCTGGCCCCTCGAACCGCTTCTGCAACCTTCGCCCTCCATTGGTGTGTGGGCTGTTTTGCATGTGGCGAGAGAGCCAAAAAGCCAAGCCAGTGTGAGACCACCCCTTCGCTATGACGACACTGTGGGTCTCTCGTCGAAGTCAACGGCGTCGTATGACATGGGGTCGAAATCTGGAATCGGGAATTTGCGGGTTCCTCTCAGGCACGGTTTCACGTTTCACTTCCACAAGGCAAGAACCCGCTTTTTGAACAATCGGCAACGAAAACAACCGGGAAGCACCAAAATCCCAAAACGTGTACGATCGCTTCATTGTCGGGTTCCGCCGAGGCCCAAGATCACCATGATCCTGCCTTGGCACTGGTGGTGGTCTGGATTCTCTCTCCAGCGACTCCAGCGAGTGGCCGGGCATGCCTGGTTGTTTCAAAGTTCCAGCTCGTTCTGCTCTTTCCACCGGGCCTTTCCGGAGTACCAGGCCACCAGGGTCAATGACCACACGAAACGGCCGCCGATTTTGTCAATGTTGCACATACCTAACATAGGTATCTGAATTTTCGACAACCTCAGCGCTCGCTTGTCGCACACCAGGAACCAACCCCAGGCGCCCAGCTCGCTCTCATCACCCCAGTTGTCGTTTTCAGGCTCTCATCGCTTAGGTATGTTTTTGATCAACCTAGCAACAAGGGATTTCGGCCTCTTCGGTTATTTTTCCCTGCAGCAACTGCCTTCAATTGCCTGCCGCTTCCCTTCTCCGTCCTCGTCCCTTGTGAGACCCTGCATTGGCACCCTGGCCCCAGCCACCTGCAGCACAACCCTTACTTCCCACTTCGACGCGAAATGTATTCTCACATGGAAGCCAATCATAGAAATTTTTGAATCCCATCCTTGACGCACGCGAGCCAAGAATGACACCGCGCCAAAAAACACCGAAGATCAATGCCTAAAGCCCACCCAACTGCAGAAGTTATCGTCTGACCATAAGTCTTGCGGCATATGTTTGTGGCCGTAGGCCGCCGCTTACATCCGAATAAAGCGTTACGCCATGATCGGCTTGCGGCATCTGGCCTACCCAACAACGGCAATCAAGAAAGTCCCTCCGACGGACTGAAAATTACTCACGTTCGCTTCTTGGGGGCGATGTGCGGCGATTCGGACCGGCTTAGTTGCTTCTCCAAACACCCTCTCCGAATATGGAAACGGGCCGAACTTCAGTGAGCGACTTGCCTAGTCGCACCATCGCCCTGATTCTGTTGTTCCTGTCTTATCTTTCAAGAGACCAACTGGCGATTTTCAAGGCAAGTAACCTAATGTCCGGTACGAAATCATGCTAGATGACGTCCGTCCGACCCAATCAAGGGTTCGTTGGATCCTATTATTGGTTTCCCTACCATTCACACCCAAAAACACAAGATGGCAGCACAGTCCTCACCACAATCAAGTGCCGGAGGAAGGACCTCACTATGCTCATCGCAGGGCCCCTGCTTCTTCACAAAAGAGGTGAGGTGATTAAGCGGGACATTAGATAGATTCAGTAGTATCCTGAAGACCTGAAAATAACGGGCCTTAAGAGGGTTTTAGGAGTGTGAATTTCGAATCCTCATTGCAATTACATGGCACGAGCACCCACCCATCCTATCCGCCAATTGATTCATCCCCAACTTTGAAAGTGTCGTCCGAACAACCTTAGCCACATAGGGCTAGCAGACAGGGAAGTGCAAGCAGAACCACGTTTAGCAACAAACCCTTGCGTCGATCAGGGAACTCCCGACCTGGTGGCGATATTTTACCCAACAATCGAGATTCCTCTGGATCCTAACAACAAGGTTGAGACGAGATCGACGGCCGTTGGGCAGCTTTTGTAACTCTTGGTATCAATGAAGTTAAGCCAAATGTATAGGGCTTCTTGTCTTCTCTCGCGGTTCGATTTCGCTAAAGGTGGGCTTACACTACGCCTGCCTTTTCTTAGGGGATCGGGAGAGCCTTGGATTGCAATCTCGATTCTGGTGAGGTAAGTTCGAGAGGGGATTACGATGGGAACCTTGGTGTCTGCCGATACTCCGGGTCATGGTTACAGTATAGCGTAGGTTGTGGCATAAAAAAAAGACGGCCAGGCAATATAATTCCCCCGCCAAGGCGAAGGGTCCCTCTCTGTGCGCGAGGAAGCCATCAGGCCATCCAGACATTCGGACCAGCCTCTCTCACCTTCCATCATCATCCTCGGCAACAGGGACCAGACAGCACTTATCATGCACATGCGTCCGAAAAAGCCTCACAATCCCAAGCCAATATCTCGCAACAATCACCCTCTCCAACCTCGCCAGCCAGGCCCGGGAGGCCTCTTCCCGCTCACCTCTTTCCACACACCACGGCACGACGCCGTGGGTGGAACCCCCGGCCGGCGAGGGCACGGGAGCCAATGACCTCGCCGGACGCCGGCTTGCCAAGGCCCGCTTGGCCGGCACGGGCAGACGGGGGTGGGGGCTCGGATCCGCTCTACCGTTTCCTTTTTGCCGATCCATCCATCGACACTGTGAAAGCCGGGTAACACGGCATCTTTTTGCTGCCAACGCAAGACCCTGTTTTTTGGGCGGTTGTTGTTTTCCCTCAGCACTGCAATATCCAGGGCCAGGGATGGTGAATTGAAAGCTGCCCCGCGGTTGCAGGACAGACAGACCGGCCACGAAACCCCTGGCCCGACCCTGCATGACACAGGTGGCTGGTCGCTTGCTGCGATGGTTCTGGCAAGGGATCCCTTCTCGCGCATGCATGTGCTCGAAGTGGGAAATGGGCGGGTGTCTAGTCTGAGTGAAAGGCGGCGGGGGCTGCGGGGAGGTTATTCCCGACGGTTGTGTGCCGGTTGTTGTCAGGTTCGTGTCCCATCGGCGGCCGTAGTCGTTCGTTGACAGGGAGTTTAGGGTTGGCAGCTCTCCCCAATTGCTTCGCGTGTGTTCCATTACAATGGTGAACCACCACTGGTGATGGAGCATGTTGGTTCGAATGGTGGGCTCGTAGGGCTGTGGACCGACTCAGGGGAAAATCCGGGGTAACTGGGGTCGAGGCTTGGTATTTACCTTGTTAGCCTTGCTCGGTGATGTCGTTGTCGCCCTCTCCCCCAAACCCCAGAACTCCCACCCACCCCTTTAAACCATAGAACCTACTCTTAATGCACTTCTCGACTCACTAGACGATAAAATTGATCTTAGCCTCGGATGGAAGGGACCTTCTAGGCTTGCCCATCGGGCTACGTACAACACGGCCATTCCTACTCTCCGGCACCAAGTGGGATAGGGCTGCAGCATACGGGCTCGACGCGGCACGATGGCGGGCCGCACTAGGGCCGTGTTTTGTCACATCACACAATGCGGTGCGAAGTCTGCACGGGGCAGAGATACACCCGTATCTATAGATCGCAAATGTAGATGTTGCCCCCGTCTCGACTTTGAGAACTATTCTCCCGGCACAATGTTGTCGGTCCCCTGGGCCCGGATGTAGACGCGCCCCGGCCTTCATCGTCCATGGACGGAGAGAATTCAATGTAACTTGGGGACGCTGGAGGCTGAGTGAGAGTATATAAAATTCCTAGCCAAATTACCCAGTCAGAAAGTCTTAACCCACTATTTTATGGCCCTCTGAGGTATTCTTTTCTACTTACCAGCCTACCTAAGTAGGTAGGCTGATTGCTATGAGGGGGGTTGGGTTAATCGTATCTGGTAGTAGTACCCGAGAATTGAAGTCGTAATAATAAGCGCTAGTTACCCTTGTCGCCCTTTGGTCTGCCACGGCTATGGAGGCGCGCCAGCTACCAGCCCAACACCTGTGCTATAGACTCCCTCGGCGAGGCCAGCGCGAGGATCACTCATACTCCTTCTTAACATCATGAGTATACGTAGAATTAGTTGGTCGCAGGTCGAGGAACTCGGTCAGCCGTAGGGAGAATCTTATGAATAATCGGTAGAAATACATCGCTAATTGTATGATATATATAAGTGCAGCAATCCTCAGGCCGAGTAGCGGCTCGTCCGCTGGAATAATCCCTTCCCTGGGTATTCCGGAACCTTACCAAGTACTCTGATTTAGGGTGGTATATTGGTTGGATGTAGTGAAGACACTCTATCGACCGCTTGGCTCGGGGATATATCCCAGTAAGCTAGGCCTGCCTTGCTACTGCTTCATAGCCGTGCTGATATAGGACTCCGCCGGTTTTACTATGAACCAGGTCGGTTCAACCTCGTCACCAGATCCAAAGTGACCGGGAATCTGCCTTCAGATCATGTTGGCGGTGCAAGTGATCATGAACCTACAGAGCACCGCCTGTACTTGTTGCAAAGTCTGCTCCTGGCTCACGTGGGTCTGTTGTATAGTCAAAGCTAAAAAAGAAAATCTGTGCAGCTCGGCGGAACACTTCCTGTATAAAACCCACTGTGTTTTACCAAACAGGAAACGTATGAGTGGGTAGGAGACACAAGGAATCGAGCCGGATGGTAGTGGTGTAAGGGGAAGTCGTGCGAAGAATTCGGTGCTGTGTGTGCGGCGAGCCTGGCCATGATTTACTCACCTGCCAGGGGCCTGTAAATCCTCTTACTCAGCTGTCTCTAATGCAATTGTAGTAAGGTCATGGGTCTTGACCTGTTTGTTTGGTGGGTGGTTTAAAGTGGCGCACTCGCTTGTCATCATACACGTCACCGGTTAGTACATGGAGCTACTGGTCCTTCGATGCATCCAGTATATGACCACGGCGATTGCTAGTCCAGCATATCTTGCTTCTCATGAAGGGACCCGAACGCAGACCGCTCTGTTGGTGTACTTAAGCCGCTGTTTCTGGTGTTAGGAGGCACGGGCCGCTTGTTTTCACTACCGTAGTTGTGCTGGCCTACATGTGTGCAAGTCAGCAACGGCTATGCAGGTTTGCTGCGGAGCGTTTGTTGTTGGGAACCCCTGGTCTTTTAGCCACAGCTGGGGCCTCCAACCAGAGCTAACAGAAGTATCCGAGCCTTGCGCAGTCCTGTTCGCAACGGTCCGCTTCCGTGGCATTCAAGTCTTCATGCTAGTTACGTACCGTGCACATACCTAATCATGGAGACAGCAACGTAATGTGGTACATGCAAGTGGTTACAACAGAACAGCATGCTCACTTACCTCTCGGGTGTCTACCTTTCTCTGGGGAGTGAATAAGATGCGTACTTCGTTAGCCTTTCAAGTGCGTTAACGGGATGGTGAGCCTGAAATAGGCACCAACCAGGGCGAGCTGACCCCTTGCCCCGCAAACCAACGCCGTTGTAAAAGAAGGCGGATGTCCCACCCTCAGGTCTCATGACTCTCATCCGAACTCCGACACACCTGAACCCTCGCTTCAATATCGCCCATCCTTCTTCACCCATAGTGTCTTGTCGCTACTTCCACAACCCACCTTTGTCCATCTTCGACAATAGCCAACAGCAAAGCAAGTATGGCAAGCCCCGGCAATGACTTGTCTCGATTTGCTGGCCTTCGATATCTGGGCCATGGGTTTGTCAAGTCAGCTGTATTCACTTTCCACTTTAATGGGGTCCACGTCCAAGTTGTTGTGGCCAGCCCTGAGGATGAGGCTGGCGGCGACACTCTTGTCCCTCCTTCCTACAACTTCCTCGAGTCTGTAGAGGGCAAATTCCTGAGCGAGATGTCGGAACTTTCCTGGGGTGAATTTGACGAGGAACGAGACAAAGCGACAGAGCGTCTTGAAGACCAGCTCGAAAAGCTGTTGCAGGATGCATGCCTCCAGACCATGGAGCAGCTCGCGCCGAGTCCCGTTCCGGCCAACCAGACACTGCATGGGTATCTCTATCCCCAGACCTATGCCCTGCAGGCTTTCACCGATTTTGAGACGAGCCGTCTGGTATGCCGCCCAGGGGACGGCCATCCTGCAATGCCTGAGCGCCATCCGCCTGTTTCCGAGCAGCAGTTGAGCGAGATGGGGCTTGACCTGGCCACTACTGATATTCCTATCGTCGAGGCGTCGCAAGTCATCCTGGTCCGCCGCCTACAGCGTCTTGTTTGGAAAGTAACTGTGAATGGGGAAGAGATGATCTGCAAAGCATCGAGCGACGTGTTCTGCCATGCGGTGCCAAACGAGCTTCAGGCGTATCTCAAGATTCGGTCTGCTAGGGCCGAGTTGAATGTTCCCGAGCTAAAAGGTACGTGTTGTTGACATGATGGGATGCGTGATGGAGAGCCCAATCTGTCTTCTAAATCGGTGTCTGATCTGTTTTCCCAGGACTTGTGGTATCCCACCGGGGAGTGATCGGCATTCTTCTTGGATACATCCCACACAAACACCCGAGTTTGGCCGCTTTATTGCACATGGACAGTGTCGCCACGGGCTCCATCCCACCAGACGAAAACACGGCATCCCTCAGGCGCAAGTGGGCAACGCAGATCGAAAAGACTTTACGGGGCCTGCACGACCTAGGAATCCTGTGGCGGGACCTCAAAACCGACAATGTTCTCATCAACGAGGACGGGGACGCTGTTCTTCTTGACTTTGGTGGGGGGAATACGCATGGCTGGGTTGACCATGACAAGTATGGAACCATGGAGGGCGAGGAGCAAGGGCTCAAGAAGATAATGGAGGAACTCAAGGTCGCAGGCGTTGAAGGACAATAGGTACAGATAGGTAGGTAAGGTAGGGACATGTTAGAAGCGAAGTGCGTTTTCCTTTGATCTTGAGTGTCTTTGATAGTCTCTTCTCCTCGAGGTTTGTCTGATCTAAAGTCAATGCCTTGCCGCACATTATTGCCCCCTTTAAGACCGATGGAAGACGAAGACACCCTCGGTGGCCAGCAGTTATGGTTTCCGTAAAAAGACACCTTGCGTCGTGGGAGGAGTTTGCCTGCCTGTACAGAGACTGTGACGAACCTACTTCTGGACCCGGTCCTGTTAGGGTTCGGCTTCGGTCGAAGGTAATCTTTCAAGGGTGCTTAGGTTCGGTGCAGCCAAAGGGTGCACAACAAAGACCTGTCTCAACAGTAGGGCTTTCGAGCTTGTAGCGAACTGTAGTTGTGATTGCTAAACTGTGAGAACTCCCAGAGCTCTCCAGGACGAGTGACTATATACTAGCTGATTCCTAAGTGCTCAGTGTGCTCAGTATGCCCTTGGCAACTGAGCTCACTGATCAATGTTGAGCCATCCCGGCTCCCTATTGGTGGTCCTGTCCTGGTGCTCAGTGTGCTCAGTCTGTCCTTGGCAACTGAGCTCACTGATCACCTTGACTACTCCTTAGCCTCCTGATTGGTTGCTCATGATTGGCTCGGGGCGTCCCGCGCCCCCCGGGTCCCTCCTGTTGGCATATTCGTGACAGAGACCGATCCCGCCAGGCAGGGATTTTAGCTTGTCAATTGTGTGGCCAAACTTAGGAGGCCGAGAGGTAACCTGCGCAAGGAAGGACTGGCAGTGCCGGAAGCTGTGCCTTGCCGTTAATAGGTATGAGATCTTCTCGAGGCATCATGAACTCCGAACCCTGGCCTCCAAAGGTCCATGGTCTTACTCTGCCAGTTTTCGCCGGGGACGGTCTAATTGGCGCGCCGGCTGGACTCCGACTGGCCGGTACTTCTGGGTCGGTGTGATCCGAGCCCTGACAAGTGCTTGCTTTTTGACCGTCAACGGAATGCCAGGTTGGGATCTTCCAGTTTCGCCGTCAAATGGCTACACTCCAAGCCCTTGACCGCTTTATTGGCTTGCAGGGACCAAGGCTTTCGCCGATGGTTCGCGAACCTCGTCAGGAGGTTGCTTTGTTCGTAACCTTCACTACAACCATTCTCTTCAACAGTTGGGTGTCTCACGTGCATATCTCGCAGGCAACCAGGCTTGTTGGTTGCCTTACAATTTCGGGCCTGCAGCTGCGTATGATTGTGGTAAAGCGCCCATTGTGAGCTGAGCGTGAAACAGGGGCGTGCTGTTGGCGCTAAGGGTCGCGCCCGTCCCTGATCGCCAACCCCCCCCCCCCAAGATTTGGGCCTTGACAGAATGACAGCCTTGCCATATTAAACCATTTTAAGTCTGGCCCTCAACCTGATGAAATGGTGACTAGCGATCCCAAAGGAATGTGGCCACTATCAACCGACTAACCCCGCTGCTATGGCCACCGTCCCCATTGACGACTACCTCTCCGAGGAAGAGGAGGAGGGCGAAGAATACGATTACATGTATGACCCAGAGATAACCCTCTCCTCCATTGCCAAGAGCAAGACAATCAACTTTTCTATCCACGCCAACTACACGGGATGGGAGCCGCGAGAAGCTTTCCGCGAGCTAGTGCAAAACTAGTAGATTTATGTTCCCACCCTACCCTTGTATCACTCCCTCCCTGTCTCCGTCTTGCTAAGCTTTTGATACACATAGGCGAGACGGCATCATCAGATCTTTTGCCCTCGCCGAGCGGGACTTTTGTGTCGTTCGTGAAGAGAGGACGTCAGGCACCGACACCGAAATAGTGTACAAAGTACCACGCTTCGGCGCTGATGACAGCAAGGAATGGCTTGGCTACATCCGCTACAAAGGCCGCCACGGCGAGGGCACCATCGACATCACGAACCGCTCTGCAACGCTGCAACCTTGGCATCTTGACCTCGGGGGAACGAGCAAGGCCGACGACGACGACCAGGCTGGGGCCCATGGCGAGGGTCTCAAGCTCGCTCTCTTAGTCCTCATGCGCGGTATGCAGAATCACAGCGTTAGATGTCGCTCCGGCGGCTTTAATTGGAAGTTCAACTTCACCACCCGCGGTCGGCTGGTTGCTCGCCTGCACCGCATGGCTCCCGAGGCCATCCGAAAGGCAGAAGACCAGGCCCGTCGGCTGAGCCAAAGGACGTTGCTCCCGTTTGGGACCAATCCGGAGCTCGACGTGCAGTTTGTTATTGGGGAGACACACGCTGGCCGAGATCAGTGGGGTGGCAAGGTAAAACGGAGCCCGGTGGAACAGGAAGAGTTCGAAGCCTGGACGAAGGCCGCTCTGTTCCTCCAAGACGCGCGGGATGGGGCCATCATCTCGACGGATGGCGGCGATCTTCTTACAGACCCACGTCTCTGTGGGCACATATACCTGAAGGGACTTTTGCTAGACGAGTCTGTTCCCACGCGATCGGCCAGCATCACCGACCAACCTCTCAAGTTCGGCTACAACTTTGCTTCTGGGCACACCAATCGCGAGAGGCAGTCGGTTGGTAGTGCGGACGAAGAGGCCAGGGCCATCACCGGTATCTGGAGTAAGGCGCTGGAGGCCAAACCCGAGCTGGTTTCGGAGCTGAGCGCCGTGCTAAACACAACTGAGCCCAAATATGCGGATATCGCTGGGGCAGAGAGGTTCATGAATTTTGAGACGGCATGGCGGTTGAAACAGTATCTTGTGGGGAGCCAGTTTGCAGGCAAGTGGTACTATTGCGGCGAGGATAAGAACAAGGTACGTCCCTACCGACCAAGCACGGCTGGGCGCTTCGTTGCTAATGAGTCGGGATTTTAGAATCCGAGGCTGGACCGCATCATACAAGGTCTCGGATGCGAGGGTGTCCAGTTAGCGGACTCGTACTGGACCATCCTGCGCCGGCACAACCTGATTCGCACCGCTGAGGAAGAGGAGCACAGCCGCTTTACATCCGCACCGACCGTTGTAGCCACAGGATTTGAGACCGCCTTTGCCAAGTCAGTGCGCCGCCTCCTCCGCGCTTGCGTGCATGCCTGTCCCATGACAAACGGAACGGCTATCCAGTTTGTCCAAGCTGGTCAGCTCCACCTCCAGCTGTTCTATTCCAAAGCGGAGCGGTTGTTTTGGGTCCACGACCGGTGGCTCTCCATCAACGGTGCCACTGAGGAGTTGGGTCTTCCTGAGGACTTGTTATCCGTCGACGTAATCTTCCACACCGTCAAACGGCTCTTCGCCGATGCGCTCGACCAGCTCCCGTGTGTCATGTTCTTGGGAGATGGTTCTAGGACCGCGGACTGGCTAAGGAAACTGGAAGTCAGCCGCGCAGAGCAGAGACTGCTAAACTATCTACGAATGGAGGGACTACACGTCTTGGAAATTGGGTCGAATCGCGAGTTGCGTCTGACCTGGAAGGTTGACACCCGGCTAGCGTTGGGTATTAGGGTTGAGATCCAATGTCACAGCGCGTCGCGATGCCTCCACCTGCGGGAGAACTTTTTGACCGCAGAGCACGGTGCGTTTTGTTCCACAGAGTCTGCCAAACCATCTCCCACGGCCCTCAATACGGCGCTTGCTAACTCATTTGCTGTAGCCCGCGCCGACAAGTTGATGTGTATGACCCCCTGGGATGAAAACGGCCTCGCTTGTCGATCCCATGAATGCAACTATTCAACGGGCTGTCACTACGAAAAGGATTTGGAGGCGGACAAGGACTACTTCTTCGTGGTGCTAATACCGGCAGATCCGAATTCCTTTGTCGCCCTCTCCACTGTCACGGACATGGCCGGTCGAGCATCATCGACTTCCCGAAATAGGGCAAGACCTCCGTCTCCGGCACCCTACCGTGGCCCGAGAAGGTCAGCACCTGGATGCCGGCCGCCGGAACTCCCAGCCCCGCGGAGGAGCGGCCCGCGTGAGGTTTCTAGCGTCAGCACGTCAAATCCAGCCAACAGCGGTACAGGCAATACTGGGGGAGTGTCGCCGTCACCAGGGCCGGACGTCAACGGGAGGCAGCCGCCAACTGCGGCGGCGCCTGGTGTGAAGCACACCACTGTCATCACTCCATCAACCCCAGCAACAGCCACTGTATCGACAGCCTCCTTCAGTGAGTTGGACCTCCTGTTAGAGATGTTCTCGCATGGATACTTACACCGAGCTTTCTAGCCCTTGGGCCCCGTCTCTCCACTCTAGACGTTTTCAAAATCGATAGGGAACGGTGGTACGAGGCTAAGAATGCAGCGAATGTGCAGGCAGTTATTGGTATCTTTACTGGGGAGAAGTCCCTGCCAGAGGAGACGAAGAAACGGCCGAGGATCGACTAGGCAGAGGTGGAAAACAAGGGCTGTAGAACGATGAAGTGCCAATACTTGGGTACGGTCATCCGGATTAGGTACCTAGGTAGGGAGGAGAGACTTAGACCTTGATATGTTCTTCTTCACGAGGTTCCTAGTAACATAATATCGCTAGGATGTCTATGTTCGCCAAATGTTCAGGGGGATATAAAAGCATAAGTGAGCCTGAATGAAGCCCTGCGTAGGTACCTAAGGTAGGTAGTTTCAGCCAGCCCAACGCTAACCGTGCCTTGCACCCTCCTACCACCCCATAACCTCCGCCTCGACCTGATACGCCTCGGCATAATGATCCAAAATATCCTGCCTACTCCTCCCCTCTCTCAACCGCAACGAAACATCCAACTTCTTCGGATGGAACGTAATCAACCCTTGCACAAACCCCGTCTCCACATCCATATCCAACTCTCCCCCCCCCTCCGCCGGCAGCACCTCAAACGCCCACAACACCTTGGCCAACCCCAAGATCAAACTCTGCTTCGCCAGCAACATGCCGGGACACACCCGCCTCCCAAACCCAAACGCGAAGGTGGCGCGCGCGTTCGCCGCCGCGGTTGAGCTCGAGCTCGCGTCCATGGTGGTCGGGTCGTGCGCCGCGCCGGGCCGCATGCCGAAGGGGTGGCGCAGGAAGCGCTCGGGCTCGAATTTTTCGGGGGACGCGTAGTCTTCGGGCGAGTGGTGGATGTGCCACACGTTGGCGTACACGGCTGTGTGCTTGGGGATCTGGAAGCCGTCGTACTCATCGTCTTGGGCCGGGGCGTGCGGGATGCCCTGGGGGGGCGACGGGCCGCCAGCGGTTTACCTGGGTAGGGGGTGGTGGTGGTGGTTAGCGGGGGGGTTTGACCTCGTGTTTGGGTTGGGGGAAGTTTGGCGGTTGAGGGGGGGGTGGCTTACCTCGTGCCAGAAGGCCTCGGTGTAGGCTAGGCGGGGAACGTCGGCGGCCTTGAGGGGTGCGCCGCCTGAAACTTGCAGCACCTCCTCCCGGATGCGTTGCTGCACCTCGGGGAACTTGGGCCACGGTCATCAGCATGGTGGAGAAGTGGCCAGCGACGTGTACATGGCGGCGGAGACGATGTTCCAGCCGTGAGGCCGAGTCGTCCAGATGTCTTGTCTCTGTTCTCGCGCTGCTC